AAACTATGTTCTTTTTCTCCTTAATCCTTCCTCTCTTCTTTCTGCCCCATCTCTTTTGAATGAGATTTTGTTCTATTAAGGTGGGGCTGGGGGCAGGATGGAAGTCAGAGAGTGGTAACTGGAGGTGGTTAAGTTGGAGGGACAGGAAGTAAACTGATGGTGGAGGATGGTAATTGCCAGGATGAATTGTTTTCCATTTCTATTTAATGTTAACAAGGACAAGGACGCAGCATCCTCTCCCATCTGGATGACACATGCCTTGGAGAAACAGTGGGATGAAAGGAGTAGGCCAGATTAAAGACTTCGTTTGGGGCTCCTTGTACATCCTCTGTTTTTGTTCACCTGTTAGAGGTGTGTCCCAGCCAAGTGTGATGGAGAAGAGTCTCAACTCTAGGGAAATGGTTCTCACCTCTGCTTTGATGATACCCCAAGGTGTCTCCAGTTATATTTTAGGCACCAATGTTGTATTTTCAAACCAAAACTAATTTGCACACTCACATATGAGCATGTGTGTATATGTATGTGCGTGCTTTTTTTAAAAAAAAAAACAGGAGTTTTGGGGAGTTTGAGAATTGGCTTGTATCCAATAAAACAAATAATGTGCCTTACCTTCAAAAAGTTTGGTGACGACTATTTTAATACTACAAGGTGGAATTCTCCAGTGTTTCTGGACTTTCCCCCTTGTCTCCTATTCCCCAGATGAAGGCTTTCATAGAGTTTAAAATTCCAACAGACTGAGTTGGTTGGAGGGGTGGCAGGTAATGGAGTCAGATACCGAAGGGTCAGAATTTCTAAGTAGGAATTGTGAAACTCTTCCACTGTCTAGAATCTCTCAGGTCAAATACCAGCTCCTTGCGTCTCTCTGCCACCCCTCCCCCCTGCCTTGGAACTGGGCAGAAAGTGATACACCTGATGGCTGTAATGTTCTGAGCCAGAGTTTCTTCAAGGAGGAAGCTCAGTTTTTGGCCAAAGTAAAAACGAAAAATGCTAATGTGCTTAAACAGTCTCCCTCAGTTCAGGGCTGCCAGCGAGGCAAAGAAAGGGCTTTCTGGAATCACATGGATAAAGGGGCTAAGAGGACTAGAGGAGAGACCTTTGCTTTTTCTTACTTGCCACTAGCAACTAGGTTATGCCCTGGAATTTTAGCTTGCTTGGGCTCATTTCTTACATGTGCTTTTTATCTGCATGGGCTTGGATGGGTTTAAGGCAAAAGCAATGTCTTTATATAGTCTGCAGGATGGGCGGTTCAGAGTGCATTCTCTGTCAGGACGAGGTAGGCATGGGTGGCAGTGTGGTGGCCATGTTGGCAGTGAGTGTGCACCCCCTGCACCCATGTACACACACTCTTTCATGTGTTCTTGGGGGTGGGGTGGGGTGGGTGAAGCAGGACTCATTTTTGTTTTTAATTACTGAAGTCCTGCAATCCTCCAAAAGGAGCAGCTTAGTGGAAACCAATAAAAATAGAAGTGGAGCGGTTGCCAAAGCCCCAGCTCCCCGGAGAGCGCAGGTGGAGAGAGGAGATCAGAGCCCCAGGCAAAGGCAGCAAGACTCCACAGTGCCTCCAAAACTCCTTGCAAAGAGGGATGCTTCCCCCCTCCCCTAGCCCCCCAGGTCGCTGCCCCTTTGATTAATGGTAAGGAGGTCGAATAAATCATTTAGGGGAAGCCCATTATGGGTTTCCCTCAGGCAGTCTCATTTTGTTTTGCCCGATTTCCACCAACTTTCTGAAGCGTACGTGTCATTGAAAAAGAACCCACAGATCTCTAGCACTTGGACAAATTATCCGAGGGCGAATCTTGAGCCCAGTGGCAGTCTGGCTCAGGTCACTTTCTAGCAACCACCCTCCCCCTCAACTTCCCCCTCCTTCTACTGGCTTATTTTCAGGAATGGATAATGTTGTTTATTTGTTCAGCCAAATATTTGGTCTGGGGAATTTACCGTGAAATTCTGTGAATTGCATATACCTAGTTAACAAAATAGTCCTAATGCCACAAATGTTAGCATGAAAAACAACAGCTATGGCCAGCTTTAACTCTTTAAATTCTGCTGGAAGGCATAGTCCCGAGGTCCGGGAAGATAGGGAATTGAATGTGTGTGATGACTTAACTTAGGTTTCACTATTTTACATTTTGGGCTAATGTTGGACTCAGTACTTTAGGGAAGCTATAGGGTGAATCTCGTCATTGCTTTTGGATTAAGTCTGCCATTCCTCGCTCCGACCTCCATCCCCTCCATATCTTTTTTGCTCAGAGTAATGTGCTCATTACCTAAAATAAGATGCGGAGGGAGAATCGCTCTCGAGGAGTTCAACAAAGGCGTAACCACATCAGAGGAGCTGCTCGGTAGATCCTTGCCCAACCCTTAAACTCAAACCGGCTTCCTAGGAGCTTAAGAAAAAAATAGCTGGGGGAGCGGGGGATGGGCCCGGAACGCATCACACATTCCCCGACTTTCGTTGCGTAATTCGCTCTGAACCTGCCAGGTGACCTGCTGACTTTGTTTTCTGTCTTGACCATGCTTCATTCCACCACCCCCTTGCCGCCGGGCAGCGCCACACTGAGAGGGCTCAGGGCAGCCGCGGAGCTGGCAGACCCCAGCGATCACCCGGCCTTGGACTGATGTCAAGGTCTGCGGACAGGCTCCGCCCCCCCACCCCCGCTCCCGGAGCTCCCTGGCCCTGGGGCCGCGGGGGCGCCAGTGGGGCGTCCTTCCCACTCGGGACCCGCTGGTGCACCTGGCGGCCTCCGCTCGCACCCGCCCCCTCCAGATCGCAGATTTCAGTCTCTCCCACCCCCATCAGTCCAGGTTATCCGCCCTCGGGAGTCGGGGTGCATAGACCGAGGGATCTGATCAGCGCAGGCAGGTCCGGACATTTCCTGTGAAATGGGGTCAAGCGGCCACTCGGAGCCGTGGAATCTGGGAAGAAAGCTCACCTGGGTGAAAGGGTGCGAGAGGGGTCGAGATCTTGAGGGGCTTTCCGTGGTGATGGAGAGCAGGAATTAAGGAACTCACAGTGGACGAGCATCTTGGAGGGACCGAGTGGGGCGTGGGAGGATGGGGAGCAGAGCGCAGAGCGGACACGTCGCGCCAACTGTCCTCTCGACCTCTTCACAAGGCAGAGCCCCAGGCTCAGCTGAACTGCCCCTGCGCCTTCCCTAACTGCTGGCGAAGGAAGGGAATGGGAGCAGCTTTGGGTGTGCTTGAGTGGAGTCGGCTCATTTCTTTCAGAAACCAGATGCCAAGCCCGTAATACTAGACTCCGCCGCAGACCTCCTCTGGACCAGAGACCCACAGTGCCGATCCCCTCACCCGCCACCCAAAGGCCCGAGCTCAGAATGGTGTGACCTAAGGGGAATCTAGGAGAATAAAGCTTCAGGCCCAAGTCTCCAAACTGTCCCTAATGGTACTTTTGTTTCAACACAGAGCAAGTTGTATTATATGTACACATACTCTTTTTAAAATGAAAAGAATAATTCACAAGTGTTGATGGTGACCTTACATTACCCGAGAATCAGAGTTATTAATATTCCCAGTAGAAATTTAGAATAATTGGTAGACTGTCAAATTAGAACTAATGGGGGAGGGGGGTGGAGATAGCTCAGTGTTAGAGTGTGCAAGCGGTCCTGGGTTCAATCCCCAGTGCCTCCTTTAAGTGAAAAAAAAAATAGAACTGATGCAGAATTAGTCAGGAGAACCATTTAAGATAGACTAGCACAATTTCACAAACTAAATTAACTGGAAATAGAGTATTTAAAAATGTGGCCCCAGGTTGTATTGCAAGGGTCCCATTTCCCTATGCTTTCAGCACTTAGTGACAGAACAAATAAACGGGTCAAAACTGCAGTGGTCACCAATGAAGAAAAGTGGCTTGTTTTAGGAAAAATTTTGGATTTCTCTAATATTTTTGGAAAAAAAAACTGGGAATTTTGAAAAATAAATTCAAGGTGTGCAACATTTCATCAATCCTAGAAAAAGGATTTAGAATATTTTCTCAGTAAGAAGGACATTTGAAATTACCATTCATGAATCACCTTACTTAAGGTATTAACTGAAACAAATTCCAGTTGTCTCTGCTTTTTCCCTGTTTTCAAAATATTCTCTAAAAACCTTGAAGAGAAATATAAATGCTGCTCTATTGTTCAGAACAAACTATTGGGAAAATACCAGAGGATTCACTGCTATAGAAATGTTTACTTCAAAAATGCGAAATTTGAGGAAGAGAAGATGGAACAGTGATTTGCTGAGTTATGTTACTAATGAGAATTTCTGAAGTCCATTTTTCAGTAGGTATCACATCTCTGAAGAAAATCTCATTAACCTCTTGAATTTTTACAACTTAATTTCTAAAAATATTTAAAAAACAAGGCCCCCATCCTAAATCCTTGAACCCCCTACCCAAGGTCCAAGAAGATTCTAGTTTTGCATAGTTTCATTGCCATTACTTTAGCAATATATTCTTCCAGTTTTGTTAACTAAAGGCCTGGCCAGCAGATGATTTTCTAAAGGATTCAAAGCACACAGAGTTTAAAACATTGAACGCTTTCTTTTACTCTTGCAATTGTTTTCCCTGTCCCTCTGTCATCAGCAACTGACTCCATGCTACATGGAGCTGTCTATGATTCAGCTGAGAAAATGTATGACTCTGTTCATCTCAAGCCTCATGTTAATTTAATCCTTGTCATTTGGTTTTCAAAGCAGTTTGTTACTGAGGTTAAGACCTAGGTGAAGAGCCCAAAGATACAGACATTATAGGGAGAAAGAGGGTCCAATTGAATTCAATTTACCCTAGTCTTCTGTTGATAATTATGAAAAAAATAATCGAGTGCTCTTTTTCTAGGATAACAGGTACAGTTAAGGCTATACCAAATGTCCCTTGAATTCATGTAGGATTCCAAAGTAGAAAAAGGTGTATCCCTTGAGAACTTACTTAAAACTTTCTTTAACTGGTCAGTGAGAGCTGTATAACCCAAAGCATTAACTTCACCTCCAGAAAGTGCAGACTCCAGTATTTAATGTGAAATTGTAATATCTCATTCCAGTTGCTATTATTTCTAGTTTTTATTGAAATGAAATTTAAAACATTTTTATGAGATGGGAAATTTGCTTACAGCTTTTACTCTAAAACAACTGTTTGTTTTTTGTTCTTTGTTCATATATTTACAAAATTTCATAAAGCTGCTTTTGTGTTCTGTTTTTTTTATAACTTCAGATAAGTATTACAACCTTAACATAGCATGAGTCTCCAGTGATTAGTTTATGTAATGTTAATGTGGATCACCTACCTTCATGGAAATAGCAGAGGTATACAACTAGTCAGTTTGTTCGTAATCTTAAGCAGCCTGATTATAATAGCAGAGGTGTGGGCATCACTTCCCAGTTTCATTAAGATTCTTACTGACTTCTTAAGGCTCGGCTTAAATGATGTGACTGTAGTACTAAACAGAATACTCCTTGTATGTTTTAAGTATCCTAAGAAGTGGGTTACCTGACATCTGGGGCTCAGACAATTTTATACTGTGGGACTTGTAGCCACCTGATTTGGTCATTTGGGGACTATATTCCTTCTCGTGCACCAGAGAAGGAGAGACGTGCTAAAGATCTCTGAAGCCACTGGCTGAGCAATTTTCTACTGGACTCAGTGTGTCCCTTATCTTCTTGCCCTGACTTCTCACACCAGGTTTCTTGGGACCTGACGGTGACGGGAAAAGGAGGCAGGATTATCTAAATACAGTAATTATCAAGTGGAAACCTATTTAGTTAGGTTACTTGGCTCAGAACCGACCTTGACACTTGCAACCTCAGATTCCAGCTGGCTGGGGTTAAACGCAGATGTCTAGCTGCTGAGTGATTTCCACATGCTTCTTTTGTGTGCCTTAACTAGGACAGACAAAAGATGTTTTTCCAGCGGGACTCACTCCTTATGAGGCCTGACCCTCAACAGAGCAAACTAATCTCAGGTGATCTTGAGGTTTTAGGGCACTAAACGGACTTTTAGAGCATGGAGAGGTAATTTGTTCAATAGTATCTGAAAAGAGTTTATTTACCTCCAGAAGATGAGTTTTCTTTACTCTCCTGAGTCCTTCACTTCCTCTGAGAGCAGACTTGTTATTTGCATAGCAAAGCATTCCATTTAGCTGGGAAGGAGAGGGTGGGCACCACTGAGAGGAAGAGTCACTTTTCCCACCATCTTTCAAGACTCAGGAGTGTGATAAGTGGGTCTGATCAACCTTTCCCTCCCCTAGACTCCAAAACTCCAGACTATTTTGCTCATTATCTACCTTGAGATCAACCAGCTTTTCCGGATGGAAGAGCTGTAGGATTTAGCACACAGCTGCTGAGAGCACAGTCCTGCCAGCACTGTTTGGCCAGTTAGTGGAGACTTGCAGGTGAAAAGTCCAGGAAAACAGACCCGCCAACGTCCCTCCTTGTCTTCTTTACAGACATTGCATTTTACTTTTAATAGAGACCCCAAGTACTCAGAGGAGATTTTTACTGCATTGACGACCCTCTGCATGGAATTATACCATTTCAACTTCGTATTATGTTTGTCACTGGCTCTCCTGCTTGCTCTACCCCAAACTCAGCTATGCATTTAAACATGGTCTCCAAGGCCCTACCCCTGTGTAGGTTATTGTTTATTTAATTGTCACTTAGCAATTCTCCAGGACGAGCTCCTAATTTATTTAACCAAATATCCCCACCTTAGCGAGACCCACCACCGTAAATAAAGGAGACTTTTTAGCATTGTAGAAGACTGAACACTCAGAGTCTCATTAGCATGAGGTCTGCTGTGCTTCTTTTAATGTGTCTGTTATTTCCAAATTGGGAGATCAGTCACAGGGATCTGAAGGGAGAAACCAGGCCTTTAATAAGCTCTGTCAAATGGGGCAATTACAAAATTCTGAGAGATTTTCTGCAAGAAGCCAAAGTGTGATTTTGAGTTGAAACTGTTAAATTTTGAGCATTTGTGGGAGAACCTCAATCTAGCCGTATCTCCCTGCGATCAATCATGTATGATGATGAGTCACCATGACTTTAAGTAAATTTAGGGAAATGTTGGAGGAAGAAAATGCCAAACAGGACAAAAGGATCTGTGGTCTCTTCCTTAGTGTTTCATCCATTGACAATGTTTTTAGGCTTCTCTAAGAGAAGTGTGACTCTAGGGAGGGAGTGTGATGGGGAGGGGAGAGTCAGGAGAAGACTTCTATCTTCCCCAGAATCATTTACAACGAAATTGTATTCAGGTTGTATGCACATAGTTAAAAATGGTACCCAGAGTTTTAAACAGAAAAGTATCTACTGAGATAAACATGAGTTTATAAAGAATTGATTGCATCCCTGTGTCTAGACTAAAATCTTACATGTATTATATGGCACTTAAAAGACATGCAGATGGTCAATGGATGGAAAATATTCCCAGTTTTAAAGTAATAATAGACTAGCCTAAGCAGATAAAAAAGTTTTATAAAATGACACTTGTAAGAAGCCTTTATTATTAGGTTATTAATAGAAAAAGAGGTCAGTGAAATAAACAGCTCAGAAACAGTTTTAAAGTATTGTTAGAGCTTAACACCTGACAAACCAGAAGCAATATAGGAGGAGAAGGTACAGGAATTACT